TTTAGGGTTCATAGAGTTTAGGGTTTGGGATTTAGGGTGTAGGTGTTCGGGGTTTAAGTCAGAGTAGACCATTGTCGTTTTGAGTATATGGCACCACCCACCCCCCAACCTAGTAATGCAATGTGCGAAGAATCCTATTCACACTTCAGAACCCCAATACCCCTATCTACCTAGGTGCCATAGCCCAAAAGGGACAAGGGGTTCCTTATAGAATTTGGGTTAAGGGTTGGGGTTAAGGGTTATACTCTAATGTAAGTGCAATATATAACTGCTTATGAATTAGAATTACACCATAGTATCACTGTACAAAGAGAACTAGTTGGTTTGTTCTGGTTTGTCAGCAACAGGTATCTCAATCATCACCCTGTCTTTGTGCTTTCCAATCAGCATAAAGTAGTTCTCCAGAAGCAGATCATTCATCAACAACTGGTGAACGTGATCAAAAACTTCTTGGAATTCAGACTTCTTATCCACAATCTTAGTGTTCTTGTATTCCTTTCTCTTCTCTCGGCATTTAATGCAATTGCGCCAAGGTTGCCCCAATCTATTAAGCCCGAACTCTTCAGCAGTAGCTCAAAAGCATGTCAGGAAGTAGTCGCACTCTTCGATGCGCAGCTACCGGAACTACCGGCGTCACATAAGGAGGTTGGATGTCTAGAATCGAAGTATATATATGTATATACATACATTCACACATATAGCCCTTAATATGACCCCCAATATAGGCTGTTACAGGGTGGGGGCAGTACCTAAGTCTTAAACCGAAAACCCTAAACCCTACACCCTAAACCCCAAACCCCTAAATCCCAAACCCCTAAACCCTAAACCCCAAACCCGTAAACCCTAAACCCCTAGTTTAGAGTTTTGGATTTGTTGTTCGAGGAGCTGAAACGATTGGAGCAGCTTGACTCATCGGCGGAAAGCTCCAGCTCTGCAGTGGAGGACTGCTTTGGGTTGAGGGTTTGGGGTTTGGGGTTTAGGGGTTTGGGGTTTAGGGGTTTAGGGTTTAGAGGTTTAGGGTTTAGGGTTTAGGTATTTAGGGTTTTAGAGTTTAGGGGTTTAGGGTTTAGGGCTGAGGTATTTAGGGTTTAGGGTTTAGGGGTTTTGGGGTTTAGGGTTCAGGGTGTAGGGGTTCAGGGTTTAGGGGTTTAGGGTTTAGGGGTTTAGGGCGGGCTTAGGGTTTAGGGCATGATTGTCCGAGCTGTGGTCGTCTTATGATGTACTTTACTTGTGCACTACACTACGGCTATGGCACAACATCTCGGATCATAGATACTCATAAAGGATGGAGCATGTTGCAGGTATCCTAGGAGCCTCCCCACGAGAGAGTGCGCGCAAGGACTTCGCATTCATGGTCTGCCATTGGATTATCCAAGCGCAAGACTGCGTCAAGTTGTTTGCATGTCATAGAGCAGGGCCTGAATAATCACCAATACTTTCCTTCCGGGCTCCTTACTATAATCACACGTACTACCCTACTATATGCCCCAAGACCCTATTCTGACGACTAAAATCCCTATATTACGTGTTCCCCTTGCTAGAGCCATCCCAAGTTTGCTTCGGCTGAGGCCCGGCTGCCAGTTTCTCAAAGCCTCGGTCTACTATCGGTCTTCGGTTTAGGTTTTAGGGTTTAGGGTTCAGGGTTTAGGGTTTAGGGGTTTAGGGTTCCTAAACGTAACCCTGAACCCTAAACCCTAAACCCTGAGTACTGAGGCATAAGTACTGTGTACCCGCAGCCTGCCCAAAATGGGCTTTGGAGCGCATGCAACGGAAAAGGCCTTTAAATAAAAACAGCCTGAACCCTAGACCCTGAGCCCTTTAGAGTTTTGGGTTGAATGCCCTCATTCATGTCTGGGCTCAGGAGCTTGAAGTCCTGGCAGAAGACCCGGCTTACGAGTCGCAGCCAGCGGAGGTCGCGCAAGACCTGAGCATGGAAGACGGCTTGGAGGACCTCCAAGGGAGGGTTCAGGCTTTAGGATTTTGGGGTTTAGGGTTTAGAGTTTAGGGTTTAGGGTTTAGGGTTTGGGGTCTAGGGTTTAGGGTTTTAGGGCTCAGAGATCGCCCCAGCCTCTGAAAAGCAAGGGGGGCTGGAGCCTTGACTGCAGGAAAGGCTTTGAAAGCCCTTAGTAGCTGCAGTAGTCGTCGCAGTAGTCGTTGTGGTGGTGCTGGTGGTTATAGCAGCAACTAGTAGCAGTAGTAGTAGTAGTAGTAGTAGTAGTAGTAGTAGTGTGCGCAGAAGAAGGACCTGCCGCCGCTGCTGCTGCTGCTGCTTACTGATCGTCGTCTGTTTGTCGGAACAGGTAAGGCATCGCTTCCATGACCGTGACCATGACAACAGAAAATATCTTGTTATAGGGTTCCTGGTTATATCATACCATTGGAGCAAAATATACACCAAAAGCTGGTTCTAGCTGATGAGACCCCCACATCCTTAGGGACCAAATGACCCTTAAAAGTAGGGGCCCTGTGCCCTTATACTATAAATCCCTATATGGTATATGAACCTTAAACCCTTTTAGGGTTCATTTCGTCCTTAAGGATGTGCTATCATTTTCAATTGGTGAAACCGAAGCGCCAGCTCTCCGAAGCCCAACAGCGACTCGGCAAGACCCAAAGCATGGAGCTTCAAGGACTTAAGGTGCCGTACTTAGGGGTCCTTATACAAAAAGAAGCCACATGTTTGAGGGGTTTATGTGTCATTGCCCGAAACTAGACCCTGAAAGCTCTTGAAGCCTTCTAAAACCCTCCACCCTAGGCCCTTACACCCTCAGCCCTATGCCCGGAACGCCCGAGCGGATGTGATCCTGAAGCCCTAAACCCCTAAGCCCCTAAACCCTAAACCCTAAACCCTAAACCCCTAAACCCTAAACCCCAAAAGCCTTCAAATTCGAGGATTCGTCCCCTCCCAGCCGGCGCTCTCCTTCCCTCTGCTGGGAGCACCTGGCACGTGGCTTGGACTTCGCGGAGGCGCAGTTTAGGGTTTAGGGGTTAGGGTTTAGGGTTCAGCGTGAAGGGTTTAGGGTTTAGGGTTTAGGGTTTAGGGTGCAGACTCAAGAGACTCCCCGTTCATCTGCATCCAAAAGTCAGCTTCTTCAGGACTACGTCGTTGGCAAATCCTAAACCCTAAGCACTATACTATGGTTATAATAAGGAACCTCCAAAATGGTATAGGTATAACTATCTAGGCCCTACATTAGGGTTTGTAGACCTGAAGTCCCCGTAAACCGTGAGCCCGTAAGCCCGCAAACCCCTAAACCCTAAACCTCGAAGCCCTAAACTTCGAAACACACTCCGAAACCCTAAACCCCAAGCTCGCGAAGCGTTCAATTTCCGAGCGCTGCAAAGCACTGGCTCTAAATTCTTCCCCTATCTAAGTGACCGTCAGAACTTCAGGTGAATGAATGCATAGTTACCCTCCGGAGTGCCCAAGAAGCCGATGAACCCAAAACCCCGTGCGGCCCCCTGCCCCCTAGCCATAAGCCTGGAACCATGAAGCCCAAAGGCTAGAGCTCTAACTCTTCAACCGAAGCCGAGAAGTCCCTCACCCCCTGACGTTTTTTGAAACCTGTATGACAGACCTAAACCCCCTTCCGAAAATGAACCTGTAAGCCTTATAAACCCTACACCCACAACCCTAGACCCTATATCTCAGTTCTCCAGTACCCAACCTTTAAACTTTTTGGGTTCTGATAATTTAGGAGTAACGTCTAACCTTTCATATCCCTGGCTTGTCGGTGAAGTAAGATATACACCTAAATCCTAAACCTTAAATGTCGTGCCTCGACGTTTCGTCGTCGCCTCCTGCCTCGGACATGGCCCGGAAGTGCCCAGAGTGGTTGGAATGGGTAAGTGGGTAGTTCTCTAAATTAGGGTCCCTTTTAGGGTCCTTTTTACAAGGGTGCCGTACTATATTGGGGACCCAAAAAGGGCCCTAAACCCTAAACCCTAAACCCTAATTTAGAGAACTATCCGAGTTCTGGGCCGCTTGTGGATTTTCGATGATCGTAGGCCAACTTGCAAGCTCTAACCTTTAGGGATTAGGGTTGAGGTGTTGCAGATTATCGAAGTCTAGACTTAAGCATCTTTAGCAAGCACTTTTAGCTCGTGGGTTCATATATGTACCCACATAAAATATATTTTGTATGCATCTCTCCCTCTCTCTCTCTCTCTCTCGTGTTCTCTCCCTGCCCTTCCTTCTACGCGTATGTGTATTCGTCGTATATCTGCCTTCTAGCTGCGGCCTGTGTCTACCAGGTTCAGGGTTTGAGGAGGGTTTACGGTTTAGGGTCAGCTGGCTAGCCAGCTAGGCAGGAGGTAGGTAGATAGATAGTTAGATAGATAGGTAGGTATATAGGCAGGCAGGTAGGTAGGTTTATTGGTCAGGTTCCTAGAGCTTAAACCCTAAACCAAACCCCGAACCCCAACCACTAAACCCCCAAAATCCCCGAACCCTAAACCCTAAACCCTAAACCCTAATCCCCAACCCCAACCACTAAACCCCAAAATCCCCAAACTGTCTTCAGACGTGCATGCTCGCAGGAAGCAGCTGAGGGCCCCATCAAGGAGGGAAGGGCCATGCCGTGCTTGGGTTCAAAGGTTTAGGGTTAGGGTTTAGGGTTTAGGGTTCGAGGGTTTAGGGTTTAGGGTTCGGGTTTAGGGTTCGAGGGTTTAAGGTTCGAGGGTTAAGGGTTCGAGGGTTTAGGGTTTAGGGTTTAGGGTTCGGGTTTAGGGTTCGAGGGTTTAGGGTTTAAAGGTTCGAGGGTTCAGGGTTCGGGTTTAGGGTTCGAGGGTTTAGGGTTTAGGGTTCGAGGGTTTAGGGTTTAGGGTTCGGGTTTAGGGCGCGAGGGTTTAGGGTTCGAGGGTTCAGGGTTTAGGGTTCGAGGGTTTAGGTTTAAGGTTCGGGTTTAGCGCTCGAGGGTTTAGGGTTTAGGGTTCGAGGGTTTAGGTTTCGAGGGTTTAGGGTTTAGGGTTCGAGGGTTCAGGGTTTAGGGTTCGAGGGTTTAGGGTTTAAGGTTCGGGTTTAGGGTTCGAGGGTTGGGGGTTTAGGGTTCGAGGGTTTAGGGTTCAGGGTTTAGGGTTCGAGGGTTTAGGGTTCAGAGTTTAGGGTTCGAGGGTTTAGGGTTTAAGGTTCGGGTTTAGGGTTCGAGGGTTTAGGGTTTAGGGTTCGAGGGTTTAGGGTTTAGGGATGTCTACCAACGCGGAACCAGCACAGTCATGACATATGACATGTCTGACTACTGCCGAAATGCTTGTGACTTGCACGAGCAGCTGTCTCGCCGGAAGCTCAAAGAGGCGGCAACGCGCTTTGGGGTTTAGGGTTTAGGGTTTAGGGTTTAGGGTTTAGGGTTTAGGGTAGCGATTGGGAAACAAGGAGGCAACTTGCAGATGCTGCCAGCAGAGTCCTCATGAAGAGCCTGTGGCTCGGTGGTCTATCACGTCCAGACGTGATGAAGCCTCTGTCAGACCTTGCCCGTCGCGTCACTTGCTGGAGCACCGCGGATGACAAACGCCTTTATCGTCTGATGTGTCACCTACACTCAACACCGGAGCGCTCAATCACCCACACCATGGGGCGACAAGCCGGATAGCTTCAAGCTAAGCCTGTACACGGACGCGGACCACGCTTCTGACGTAGTAGGGTTCGAGGGTGTAGGGTTTAGGGTTCGAGAATTTAAGTTTTTGGTTTAGGTTCGAGGACAGGCTTTGAAGTTTTCGTCAGGTGGAGTTAACCCTAGACCCTAAACCGTAGCGCTGACGTAAGATGGGGGTCTCCGCCATTCGCATTTGTGTACATCCGGGGAATTTTCAGTCCCAAACTTCCGAAACTGAGACCAGAAGACCCCCAAGCCCTCAAAGGGTTTAAGGTTTAGGGATCTTCCAGGCTTTCTTCGGTAAGATGCGAAGCTGTGCGGGTTTCGGAGAGCTAGGAGGCCGATTTCCAGGGAAATGCGATCTCATTATGTAGGGTTTCGGTTGCACCTGGATGGAAATATCAAGCCCTTACGTCATACAAACCGTGAAGAACGAGACTAACACGTGATTCTCGTCTTTTGAGAGCAGGCAGTAGCGATAGTGCATAGGTGGATTGACGGGAATGCTGGGTGGCTAGCGATACTTCAGCCTTCACTGCCTGCACAGTTCGCTTTCGAGCCTGCAACACATACTTATGCACATGTGCAAACCTGTACAAACATGTGAATGCAGACATGCATGCATACATACATACATCATACATAATAATGATACATACATGCACACATACATACATACATACATACATACATACATACATACATACATACATACATACATACATACATGCATAGATACTTCACACACAAAGCAGATATGGAGATTTACATTTGTCTACATGTTCATGTACATACGTGTGTGTATCTATATATATATATACATGTATGTACATACACAGACACATGCATGCATCTGTGTATCCATATACACATACACATGCACCCAGAATCATATTTGCATGCACGCATTACTCAGCAACTCACAAATCCTTATTCTGGTTCACCAAAGCCCTGTGGAAACTGATGAAACCGTAGCACAACCCTGTCGAGTTGCTTTGGCACCCAGGTCCTAAGGTGAAGGTTTCGGGAGCGGCAGCTTCGGGATAAAGTTCGGATGATATTTACAAGATGTTTCTATAGAGCCCTTAATATAGCCCGTAATGTATACAGTTACGAGGTGGGGGCAGTACAACATATGGCGTCATTGTGGTGTCTTCCTCCCAGGACCATCGGGCCAAACATCAACCTGACTGACCCTTCGGCGTCCAGTCATAGCTGTAACATAGGAGTTTCCGCAAATAAGGGGTACTATTTTGGGGGTCCTGATAATAAGAATCCTATTATTTGGGGTACTATATTAGGGTCCCCTATTTTCTGAAACCCTCATATAGAGGTCGGAATATTGTGCAATGATGCCCCTTGCAGTTCTAGTGGACTACATCCCAGCACACAGTGGAATTGCGGCCTTTTTTTTGTCAGATGGTAGCTCCAGGACCCGCCGGAGATGAACATGGTGCTTCCAGCCTTTCCCGTCGTGGAGCCGCGCGAGGCTTTCCTTCCGAACGCTGCGACGCCTAAACTCAAACTCCGAACTCAAAAACTGTACACACCCCTAAACCCTAAACCCTAAGCCGTCGAGCCCTAAACCCAATCTCCGACCTCCAAAGCTCTACACAGACACCCTGGACCTTGTGCTTTGAACCCTCAGCTGTAAAACCCCTAAAATCTTATCAGCTCTGAACCCGAAACCTCAAACTCCACACTGAAAGGCCTGAGCTTAAACGCCCTAAACCCTAGCCCCCACCACATTGCTGTGATGCAGATGCGAACTTAGACCAATGTAAGGGGCTTTTAGGATAACTTGAGTGGTATGCCTTAGGACTCGTTACTCTAACTCTAGCATAATATAGCCCAAAATCCTATTGATTGGTATGGCTTAGGACTCCTTACTCTAACTCTAGCATAATAGAGCCCAAAACCCTATTCTGATGATCAAGACCCCTACATTACCCTTGCAAGAGTGGATTGGTGCTCTGGTTGTCTCGGCCTTGAAGTCTCTCAACTGATGGCTCGGGCACATGTACCTAAAGGGTCAGGGTTTCGGGCTTAGGGCTTAGGGTTTAGGGCTTAGGGTTTAGGGTTTAGGGCGAAACCAGGGTAGCTAGGGTACAAGTACTGGTATGATCAACCCTGATGAAAGACCGTGACAGCTGGCTTGCAGGGCCCCTTCATGGTGAAGCAGGGGTCGGAATAAATAGCAGTAGTTTGCCCTGAAGGAAAATGGCCCGGAAGCGAAAACCCTAAAACCTATACCCCGCTCTACTGACTGGGGCTCCGGGTTTAGGGTTTAGGGTTTAGGGTTTAGGGTTTAGGGGTTTGGGGTTTAGGGTTTAGGGTTTAGGGTTTAGGGTTTAGGGTTTAGGGTTGTTTGGAGGAAGAGCTGGCAAACAGCTTGTTCAGTACCTGGGTGCAGAGCCTTGGCGGAGCATCTTTTCGTGTTCGGGGTTTAGGGCTTCGGGGCCTGGCCTGGTTTGGCAGCTGCCGGCAAAATTGAAGGCAGCGTGTCTCTCCTCCTTATCCGTACACCCTAAACGTTAAAACCTGAACCCTAAACCCAAACCCTAAACCCTAAACCCTAAACCGTATAGGTTTCGGGTTTAGGGTCTGGGCTTCCTCTCAGGCAGTGGAGTGGCTTTTGGTTTACAGCCGGGCCATAGGGCTTTGGATGCCAAGGAGAAGCTCGTCCTGCCGGGTACCACCCCTCGCTCCTTGGCAGCAGGTGGTAGGGTTTAGGGTTTAGAGTTTAGGGGTGAGGGGTTAGGGTTTA